ATCCAGCCTCTGCAAGTCATCCCTATCGAGCCAGGTGTCATCTGACTCAGGTCGTCCTTTCCAACGTACCAAATACCTGCGGATACCACCATTGCTAGTAGAAACAATGTTATCATCAATAATAGTATCAATGTCTTGTGCTGTATAAGTGGGTGATATCTGGGGAAGTGGAGGTAAAGGGGAGCTCTCAGAAATAGGCTCAGGGGTAGGCTCATCAACCAGTGGGTTGTCAGGGTTAAAATGTGGGCCTTTGTACTCTACTAAATCCTCAATATTAAAAGTCGAACCAATATTAAAACCTTCGGGAAGGTCGAGAACATAAGCATTATCATTAATTTTCTTGAGAATTTTAAAAGGTCCTGCACTTCGCGCATGCAACTTTTTAACAGTTCCCGGAGGAAACCGTTCCGGACGTATCCGAACCATCACGTAATCACCAACATTAAATTCTTTAAACTTTCTTCTTAGATCTGCTCGCATTTTATAGTTAGCATTGCTGTCATTGATCTTCTTACTGATGTCTTTATGCAAGTCATGAATGCGAGATGCAAATGCAGATGCTGACTCAGATACTCTATGATGTGCAGACACGGGGACAAGATCTATAGGCTGTCTAGGTTTGTAACCATACACGACTTCAGCTGGACTGACACCTGTAGACCTATTAACAGAGTTATTATAAGCAAATTCAGCAGTAGGCAAATGTTGATCCCAACTCCTAAGATTCTCACCAACTAGCGATCTCAAAAGGTTACCTAAGCTCCGATTGACTACCTCAGTTTGACCGTCAGTCTGGGGATGAAAGGCCGTAGAGAATTGAAGTTTAGTTCCCATTTTGTGCCAAAGGGTTTTCCAGAAATAACTTGTAAATTTAACATCCCTATCTGACACGATTGTTTTCGGAAGCCCGTGCAGTTTAACAACTTCGTTGAAGTATAGCTTAGCCACGTAAGAAGCGTCGGAAGTTTTGAAACATGGTATGAAGTGGGCCATTTTGGAGAAGCGGTCCACAACAACAAAGATAGAATCGTGTTTTCTAATTGTTTTCGGGAGTCCTAACACGAAATCCATACTAACATCCTGCCATGGACAATTTGGTACAGGGAGAGGAGTGTACAAACCAGTGTTCTGTTTACGTTGTTTTGCCAATTGGTAGATGTGACATCTACTCACTAGTCTAACAACGTCTCGTTTCATACTTGGCCAATAGAAGCGACTTTCCACTGCCTCGACAGTCTTGTTATTTCCAAAATGTCCTGCAAGGCCTCCAGCGTGTAATTCCCAAATTAAGAATTCTCTCAGGGAGGTGTCAGGAATACACAACTTGCGAAAATGGAAGAGATATCCATCCTTCAGGAGAAAGCCATCAATTTCACGGATCACTCCATCATTTAGCAAAGTATAAACTTCGCTAAAATCAGGGCACGATTCATATTGGTCTTTGACTTTCTCAAAACCGATAACTTCCGCACTCAAAGTGGAGAGGAGATGCATGCGACGACTGAGTGCGTCGGCGGCTTTATTTTCTACTCCCGCTTTATGTTTGATCGTGTAGGTATAATCCTGGAGGAACTCAACCCATCGACCATGTCTAGCGTTCAACTTCTTTTGGGAGTGAATATATCGAAGAGCTTCGTGGTCAGAATATATGACGAATTCTTGTGGGAGCAGATAGTGACGCCAGTGTCGAAGAGATTGTATCACCGCATAGAACTCTTTATCATAGGTGGAATAACGTTGCCTAGTATCATTCAGCTTCTCACTAAAGTAAGCAACGGGATGTCCTTCTTGAGATAGGACTCCACCTATTCCAATACCAGAGGCATCACACGCAATTTCGAAGACTTTAGAAAAATCGGGCAGGCGCATAACAGGAGCCTGTTCCATTCGTCACCGGGACGGATGCGAATCTGATGGTAGCCACTCTTAAGATCAATCTTAGAGAAGATGGTGGCTCCAGACATTAAGTCAAGCATGTCATCCAACCGGGGAATGGGGAAACGGTATTTCACCGTAATCTTGTTAATCGCACGGCTATCCACACACATACGCCATGTTCCATCTTTCTTTGGCGTCAGTAATGCGGGGACCGCACAAGGGCTCATGCTTTCTTTCACAAAGCCCTTCTTCAACAATTCATCAACTTGCCTTTTCAACTCTGCATGCTCATTGGGATTCATCCGATAGTGAGGCAAATTGGGAAGGGATGCTCCCGGGACTAAATCAATTGCGTGTTGGATATCACGCATCGGGGGTAATTGGTCCGGGAGGTCTTCAGGGAAGACGTCAGAAAATTCGTCCAACACAGTAGCGACTTCTGGGGGAACCACGTTGGAAATATCATTCGGAGCTTCTCTAGCGGCGAGGGCGAAAATAGGAGCTCCGTTGGCCAGTTCTCGATCAATTTCTTTGGCTCCAATCAGGTTAACACCTTGGGAAGATTTATTTGGGTCGGTCTTCTTTTCAGTTCCTTTTGGTTGAACCGGAAGGATCTTGACCTTCTTCCCGTCGTGTTCAAACAATAGCATATTGGATCGCCCGAAGATGTGAACGTCGTTATCAAATAACCAGGGCCTTCCAAGAATAACTTGACCCACATCCATTTTCAAAACATCGCACCAAACTTTGTCCTTATAAATGGCAAATTGAAGAGGGACTAGGCATCTCTCTTGGACATTGAGGGCGGTGTCGTTAATCCATGATACCTTGTATGGATTAGGATGGGGTACAACCTTGAGACCAAGCTTAGCGATCACAGCTGAGGAGACCGCGTTAATGCAACTTCCACTGTCCACGATCACTTTACAATTTTTATCACCAATCTTTGTGAACGTGTGGAAAATGGAAGTACGTCTCCAATCATCAACAGCCTTGGGTTGAGAAATGGCGCATCTGACAACTGATACAGTAGGAGTTTCAATTTGTCTAAGACAACTCAAGATAGTATCATCAGCATCATCCTCGAAATCATCGGTATCATCGTCAATTTGATGGACAAACTCATCACTATCAGGTTCAGGTTCATCATCCTCGAAATCATCAGTATCATCGTCAATTTGATGGACAAACTCGTCACATCGATGATAACCTTGTGACGGGTCGGACAGTTCGCAGAAACATGCCCATACCCTTGGCATTTGTAGCACTTGACGTGAGCGCCAATCTTGGAGAAATCTTTCTCCGGTTCCTTGCCTTTGGAATCGACTTTAGACTGGGAAGAACTGGGGTTAGATCGACTCGGAGGATGACTAGAAGTAGTGGCACGAGAAAATTGGGAGGAATGAGTTCTAAAATCCTGACTCCTATAAGATTGATGGGATTTTGATTCATCTAGATCCTGAACTAACGCGTAAGCTTTTTCAAGGGTGTCTACTCCCCGAGCAAAGAGTTCGGTTTGCAGATCATTTCTCAATCCAGCTCTAAACTTCGACAAGACTTTCATTGGCGCCTCTTGTTCAATAGTGTTGCATCGAGTGAACAGTTCGTCAAATTGTGCGACGTAATCTTTTGCGGATTTGGTGCCTTGAGTGAGACGATGCCACTTATCTAGCAATCGATGATAAAATGATGGCGGAAGGTATTTCTGTTTAAGTTCATTAGTCATTTCTCGCCAAGTTGTAATCGGTAACTCACCTCTAATGTGCCTCAACGTTTCGAGGTTGGTCCAATATTGGCAAGCAGGTCCGGTAAGTTTCATAGCGGCGAATTTGACCTTTCGGGGTTCCGTCAGGGCGTACCAATCAAAATAACGATCCATGCTCTTCAGCCAGTCCAAGAAAGCTTGTGGGTCGAGCTTGCCGTCAAAGGTTGGGGCGTTGATCTTAATACTCCTCAGGTATTGCGCATCCGGATCAGGTACCGGTTGATGTGGGGGCCGCTGAACGAAGTTTCCATAGCCTTGACCTTGCAGCGGTGGGGCGATATGTTGATAACCTTGATCTGGCGGTGGTGGAGTTGCAACACGAGCTTCTTCGAGCCTAGCAAACTTTTCGTTGGTTTC